CCCCCCCCCCCCCCTGCCTCTGCACCCACAGGCCGCACACCCCCGCGTCCTCGCTTCCCCTTTCGCCCTTGGCCGCAGAGGCGTCTTTGCGGCTCCCAGAAAAAGGAAGGAAGCCTCGTGGTCCTGCGGCTCTGAGCACCCCCGTTCCGGTCCCAGGCTCCGCGGGGAAACTGAGCCAACAGCTCAGACCTTGGCGGGGGAAGGCAGAGTAGGGGGGGGCGCTCGGGTTGCCTTCCGCTGGGAAACTGAGGCCCCCCCCAAGCTCCGAAGTGGGACTGGAAGAGCGAGCGCTTGAACCTCTGTCCTCCGGGCTTGGCTCCCCAAACTCGAACCCCGGGCACCTGCACTACGTATGAGCAATTGTTTGCAGGACCGTCGTCTGCGCTCCTGACCCCAAGACGTGACGTGCACGCCGAGGCTGGGGACCCTGGGGTCTGCAAGCACGACTCGCGCCGCCCAAGGCTTCTTGTTATGGGACGCGCGCGGCGTCGCCATGGAGACCTCCGAGGTGCCAGGGAGGTCGCGCAGCAGAAAGGGAAGGGAGGGGTCCCCGGAACGCCGCAGCCTTTCCTCCCCGGGAAGGGGGGCTGCGAGTCATTTTCCGTCCAGAACCGCGTCCCGACCACCCAGCCTGGTCATTCCCAAGGAATTTCCACGGGGATCTTTTTTAGGGAAGGTTAGGGGGTACCGGAACTGCCTAGGCAGAGTCAAAGAGTGTGACTGGGGACGTCCCTGCGCCTCCGAGGGTCTGGGAAAATCCAGCGCCCGGAGTTATTTATTTTCAAGCGGATTTTTTCTTAAGACTCGCTTCGCGAATTCTTCGAGGTGCGCGGCGGGCGAGCTCCCCCTGGTGGCCCAAGGCCCAATGGCAGTCACGACGGCGTCCTCCCTTCCCTTCCCTCAACTCCCAAGGGCCTGGGGTAGGTGGGGTGTCCATCTCCTCTCTGGGGATCCAGCAATGAACAGAGTAGGTTACATGGGGGGCCAGACCGTGGCGCAGCGCTGTACTCTGCGGCAGTCCTACATGGGAAGGTTCCTGGTTCAAGTCTGGAGGCCTCCCTGAAAACAGCTGGGCCTGTGTTCCCATGACCCAGACCTGGCTGGGGAAGGAGGATAGATGGTGTGTCCCCCTGTTGGGGGACAGGCAGGCTCTGTGGTGCAGCAGTAAAGTGCACCTCGAGAGGCATCAGATTCCACATAGAAGGAAAAAATAAAATAAGGAAATATAAGCTTTATGGGAGCCAGCAGGTGGCATGGTGGTTGAGGGCGCTGGACTCCCACATAACCAGTCCTGGTTCGAGTCCCGGACCTGGTGGCGTGCTTTGTCACTTTCCCTCTCTCTCTTGCTCTGTCCCTCTCTGGTCAAAATTAAATAAATAAGTAAAGCTAAATAAAATAATAATAATAATGTTTTTTAAAAAAAATTCCTTGTAGTGGTTGGCGGGTGGCGTGGTAGTTAAGGCACTGGATTCTCACATGGCTGACCACGGTTTGAGTACCGGGCCTGACGGCTTGCTTTCTCACTTTCTCTCTCTCTCTCTTTGATCAAACTGGAAAATAAAATAATAAATGCAAATAAATAAAGTTAAATAAAAAAATAATTCTTTAGAAAAAAAGTTCCTCGTGGGGCCGGCTGGTGGCATGGTGGTTGAGGCACTGGATTCCCACGTGGCCAACCGTGGTTCGAGTCGCGGACCTGGTGGCTTGCTTTCTCACTTTTCCTGTCTTTCTCTCTCTCACACTGTCTCTGTCTTTGGTGTGCACACATGCCCTGTAGCAAACTGAAAAACAATAATCAGGGGCTGGGGCCAGCAGGTGGTGTGGTGGTTAAGGCACTGAACACTCCATGACCAACCACAGTTCGAGCCCCGGACCTGGTGGCTTGCTTTCTCACTTTCTCTATCTCTCTCTGTCTCTCTCTGGCCAAATTAAAATAAATGAATGAATAAATAAAATTAAATAATTCTTTTAAGGTAATAATAATAATAATCAGGGCCAGCAGGTGGTGTAGTAGTTTTGTCGCTGGACTCCCACATAGTCAGCTGTGGTTTGAGTCCCAGACCTGGCGGCTTGAAACTCACACCAGGCATGGGTGTGTGTGTGCCCAGAGTCCCAAGAGGAGAATGGAGGAGTTGGGATTGTGGTGTGGCCTCTTCCCCCATCCCTGGGAGAGCATGATTTCTTGCTTTCTGTCTCCATCTCTCCAGCAGATGCACATGCCCTATGGCAAAAATCTCTCCCAAAGGGAAAAAAAATTGTTATTACTATTACAATAATAGCCCCAGGTTTGGGACTCAAACTGCAGTTGGTGGGAACCAGCAGTTAGCGTAATGGCTATGTCGCTGGACTCTCACGTAGTCGACCGCATTCGCGTCCCGGACCTGGTGGCTTAAAACTCACGCTGGGCGCGTGTGCGTGCATGCCCAAGATCCCGAAAGGAGAATGGAGGAGAAAGGATTGCGGCGTGACCATCCCCCCTGGGGGGTGATTTCTCGCTTTCTGTCTCTCTGTCTCTCTCTGTCTGTCTGGCGAGCGCACGCACCCTATAATGAAAACCTCTCAAAAAAACAAACAAAAAACTGCAGTTGGCCACGTGGGAGCCCTGAACCATAACTGCCATGCCAACTGCTGACCCTGGTAAGTAATTCAAGTAATTCTTTGTTTGTTTTGTTATAGGGAGTGTGTATTTGCCAGAGAGCAGAGAGACAGAGAGATACAGAGGGGGGGGCTGGCAAGTGGCGTGGTGGTTAAGGGTGCTGGATTCCCACATGGCTGAATGAGGTTTGAGTCCTAGACCTGGTGGCTTGCTTTCTTGCTTCCCTTTCTCTCTCTCTGTCTCCCTCTGGTCAAATAATAATAATAATAATAATAATAACAAATGGAATTAAATAATTTTTTTTTTTGAAGAGAGAGATACAGAGAAAGGAAAGTGAGAAATCACCCCCCAGGGGGATGGCCACACCACAATCTCTTCTCCTCCATTCTCCCCCTGGGATTTTGGGCACACATGCACATGTGCCCAGCGTGAGTTTCAAACTGCCTTATCTGGGACTTGAACTGCAGAGGGCCATGTGGGAGTCCAGTGCCTCAACCATGATGCCACCTGCTGCCTTCTCTGACCCCCAGTGCAATTTTCAAGCTGTCGGATCTGGGACTCGAACCATGGTTGAGTATGGGATCCAGCTGCCTTAACTTCACGCCACCTGCTGGCCCAGATGTGGATCTTTCTTTTTCTTTCTTTCTTTCTTTCTTTCTTTCTTTCTTTCTTTCTTTCTTTCTTTCTTTCTTTCTTTCTTTCTTTCTTTCTTTCTTTCTTTCTTTCTTCTTTTTTAAAGAATTATTTTAACTTTATTTATCTTTAATTTGACCAGAGAGGGACAGAACAAGAGAAAAAGTGAAAAAGCAAGCCGCCAGGTTCGGGACTCGAACAGCAGTCAGCCATGTGGGAGTCCAGCGCCCTTAACCACCTCACCTGCCGGCCCCCAAAGATGTGGATGTTTCAAGGCTGCACAGCTGACTTGCTGGGACACTGGGGCTGGGTACAGCAGAGTCAGGGAAGACTCAGCCCGTGGGAGAATGGAGGGCCAGGTGGGACGATGGCAGTGGGGGTCCGGCCGGCAGGGACGCCAAGGGGTACCATTTTCTCAAGGAAAAGGGAAGTGGTTGCTCCTCCGCGCTCTGCAGCTGGCTCCAGGATGGGCAGGGCTTCCTCCCGGGTGCCAGCCAGTCTCAGGCTGCCCACGGAACTGGCAGGCCTCAGAGCAGAGGCTGCGGACCCAGGGTGGAAGTTTCCATGCACCCCGCTCCACGGGGTCAGGCCTCTCCCCGACACTCTGAGCCCTGCTCCAGCTGATCTGCAGTTCCTCTGGCCTGGAACGCTGTTCCCTTCCTTCCTGACGTGGCCAGGTCCCCCTTTCCTGCATCCGGAGCCTCCTCCTGAAGGTTTTCCTGGGTGCTCTCCTCTCTGTCCCAGGCCACATCCTGTCACTCCCTGTCACTTGTCCTACTCCTCCTTACTAAGTTCATCACTTGCTCAGACTCCCTTGGCTTAGCTGTTTTTTTTTTTTTTTGGAGAGGTTTTTGCTATAGGGCGCGTGCACTCGCCAGACAGAGAGACAGAGAGACAGAAAGTGAGAAATCACCTCCCAGGGGGGATGGCCACGCCGCAATCCCTTCTCCTCCGTTCTCCTCTCAGGATTTTGGGCACACAGGCATATGTGCCTGGTCTGAGTTTCAAGTCACCAGGTCTGGGACTTGAACCACAGTTGACCATGTGGGAGTCCAGTGCTTTAACTACCACACCACCAGCTGGCCTGCCTTGTCACATTTTATTTTTTAAGAATTATTTACTGGGGCCGGCAAGTGGCATGGTGGTTAAAGGCACTGGACACTCCCACATGGCCGACCACGGTTCAAGTCTTGGACCTGGTAGCTTGCTTTCTCACTTCCTCTCTCTCTCTGTCTCTCTCTGATCAAACTGAAAAATAATAATGAT